CATCATTCGGGTAAATAAATGCGTGGAAATATGAAAATGCTAACAAATATGGCTTATTATCTAAATAAAAATAGGTAACTTATTTTCGGCAGAGTGAATGACTACAATAATTTGTATAAAACACGAGAACAGAAAAACTCATGACACTCTTTATAAGTTTACACAAATATACAATAAAATTATGAAACAACAAGATAATTTCTAAAAAGTAAAGGGGGAACAATATTTCGAAGCAGTACACTAAATCATTTTTCTATTCTACCTCATTATGAAACACAAAAATGGCCAACGTAATTTATATAAATTTAGTCATTGTGTTCATCATTGAGACGCAACAAGATGATTTCTTACAATTATATTTTATTTTGAATTATGGAAGACAAAAAAAAATCAACGTACGGATATTTAATCATTACTTTTGCTCTAATTCCTTTTACGGAGAAGGAAAAACCTATTGTGTCTTTTTTTGCATCATTAAATCTACCTTGGCTACGTTCACTTTCATCTATTTATTTTGGGAAACGATAATGATTGGAATTTTGGAAAACAAGTATCGTGCATGGCCTTTAAATTTAATTGAGTTAATTTAACAGAATAAATTGCTTTTTCTTTCTTATGCTAAAAACGAGAATACTCAAACACACACACATACACACATATACGTAAACACACACTCACACACACACACACACACACACACACACACACACACACACACACATATATATATATATATATATATATATATATATATACTAGTAGCAAGGCCCGGCGTTGCCCGTGCTTGATTCAAAAATCGTACAACTCATACAGCAATCGCTATCACTTGACTTTAAATATTTTTGCCATTCCTTGCCTTTAAATGAGTGCCCTTTGCCGTGCTGATGTTGCTTCATGCCTTACTTCTTGACTATCTCACACTGCGATTTTTTTCTAAGCTCTATACTAAACATTAAATCTGTTACGAAAATGAACTAAACAAAATGAAAACAAAACGATCAGCTTTAAAAAAGGTCTCGTAACTGGAAAAGCCGGATGAAAAAGAATGTTAACAACAAATACTTTTTCACACACAACACAGTTCTGCGGTATCAGAATCAACGTTGAGTTTAAGCAAGCGAATGAGCCAATTGGAGTAAAGTGCCATGCAGATTTAAATTTTTCCCACTTGTGACGAATGCAGCTATCGATTTGTTTTGCATGATAGCATGCTAGTTAACATTCGTGTCAGTCAGCTGTTGGCTCTCACGCTGGCCAATAGAATCTTCCTGCCTATTCGTGGCTGCCACGAATAGCCAACAACTACAGCTTGCTTTTCACTGCCGTCCATGTTTGTGAACTGAAGCATTGTGAGTCTGTCTTTGGGAACATTTGTCCCATTTGACTGTTCGTCGCCGGCAAATCGCAAAGATACAGACGGCATGGCTTTGTAGAAAATTCCCGTTTCATCACACTTCCAAACATCTTCTGGATCAAATACACGAAAAAGTTGCGGCAAAACGTTTGTCACCCATTCGTTGGCAGAACCGTGATCTGCTGACGTTGATTCGCCGTGAAATGTTTGAACGAAACGTTATTGGCCTGCTTCCAGCGCATGAGCCAGCCATTGCTCCGTTCAAAATCAACTTCAAGATTTACGGCCAGTTGTGATGCTTTCTGCCTTATGACGTGATCGGTGACGGTAGCGCCACGATCACATGCTTGCGTAAACCATTGTGTAAGCGTTTCGTTAACGTCCTTGTGCACGGATTGGCGCTTTCGTTTGCGATTAGTGTTTCCGTTCATTTGCATGCAAGATCTGAGATCTTCTTTCTTGAGAATTTTTGCTGCTGTTGAATAACCGATTCCGTACTTTTTGGGTGCAGCGGCCAGTTTGAGTTTCTTCACTTTGACATCGTCGATGAGCTGCAACAGAAATGCTCAGAGTTTTTCGTTGAGACGCCGACGCCGACGTCACTAATCGCAATGATCGCAAGCAAACGGTTTTCAGTGGCAAAATTAACAAACAGACAGACTTCTGACTCAACAGAACAGTGGGTAAAGTGAAAGTGCTGTCCAGTAAATGCAACGACAAGCAAAGTCGGCAAAAAAGCGGGCGGAGCTACCCTTAGACACACAAAGCAAAATCATAAGGTAGAGTGTGTCTCCTACAGACACAGATTGGACACACCGTGTCTCTAGACTAGTGAAGATTAAGCCATTAAACTTCACTCTCTCTCTAACTGACCTCTGTTTGACCGATTTACGACATCACACTGTCACTCAAAACGAACTCTCTTATATCGGGGAGGAGGGAGCCAGAGAAAATCTCTCTTATATACGGGTTTCTCTTATATCCGGGTCTCTTATATCCGGATCCAGTTCATATACATTAACACAGGCTCTAATTTGGGAGCTGCGAAAATCTCTCTTATATCCGGGTTTCTCTTATATCCGGGTCTCTTATATCCGGGTTACACTGTATATTGGATAAACCACTACATGAATATCTGGAAGTCTCTCGATACGCCTATTAGACCATAGCTCAATTAAGACTCACTTAAACACAGACGGAATTCTAACAAGCTCCATCCGTAACATATTAGTAGAAAATAGAAATAAAACAGCATTATCCATGAGACTAAATATCTTGGGAATATTAACAATAAAAAAAGAAAATGCCAACACTGAGTCACAACAACAAGAACGCGCGCACAATATGCTGTCCTTGTTTGGAAAATAAAACATCCTTCAAACTCTAGATGTATGCATAAACACCCATATATTCATTCAAAAAATAAATAACTCCATCTTGATAAAGAATAGCCGAATCCTTTCATATATGCAGAACATTTGGTCAAGTTTTGCACACATGATGTTCAGGAAAAAAAAAATTAAATAAAGCGCTTAATCGCAGTACCCGTCACAGGTTTCATATATATATATATATATATATATATATATATATATATATATATATATATATATATATATATATATATATATATATGTCTGTGTGTGTGTATATATATATATATGTATATATATATATATATATATATGTAAATATATATATATATATATATATATATATATATATATATATATATATATATACATACATACATACATATATATATATATATATATATATATATATATATATATATATATATATAATAAAGACTGACAGGGTACTGCGATTGAGCTTTTATTTAATTCTTCTGAAAATACCGCGGATATATATATATACATATATATATATATATATATATATATATATATATATATATATATATAATCGACTCTCCCGTCGTATGAGGGTCAAGCAGATCAGTTTCCAGGGAACCGACAGCCCGACAACGACACATGAGATTTGATTATAGTGGTGAAGGCTTCGTGCAGGACCATCCACACTATTTGAAGGGACGAATACAGAGACCTGGTGCACCGAATGCCACAAGGTTCCCAAACGACCCTCCGTAGGTTTTGAATTCAAAGTTGTCCTTCTCCTAGACCAGTTGCTATCCAAGGCTATAGAACCCAGTCTGTCCTGCTATTTTACTCATAGCTGGGGGTACAAGAAGGGGATTCATACCTTCCCCAAGGGTATTAGCACGTAAGTGAATGTAAAGGATTCGACTGGAATTCGAACTGGGCTCTGCGATCCCTCAATCCAAGCCGATATCCATTACTCCACCGTGCCTCCTCCCCCCTCTCTCTCTCTCTCTCTATCTATCTATCTTTCTATCTCGCTGTCATTTTAACTCTCACACTCACACACAATATATACGGTGTGTAACAGCAAACTTGTCCATATCGTGTAACACACCGGTACATATATATATATATATATATATATATATATATATATATATATATATATATATATATATATATATATATATATATATATATATACCCGTGTGTTCAAATAATGTATATATATTTTGCTGAGTACCCAAAGAATATGAATGAAATTATTACGTTTATTCCATCACTCAGAAATATGAATGTGGTAGCACAAAAATCAATCTAAAAATGTAGAAAAACGATACTTCGTTGACCAGATAAAAGATTTAACATATCATTGAATAATATTATGTCATGCTAAGAAACATTAAAGAGGGTAGCCGGTAGATTTGAAAGAAAATATAAAAGAAAAACTAAATGACCAAGAAATGAGTTTTATTTACCAATCCATGAATAATTAAAACATTTTGAAGTTTAAGATTTGCAGTTGGAAAGAGCTGACAGATTCCACGATTTCTGCCTCAGTCTTCGCCTTTCTACATACAGCAAGTTATACTGACGAGCAAAGCTAAGGCAGCAGTTAAAAAACTAAACCAGTTGATTGCCTAGTAATACAAATGTGTCACTCTCAGAAGAAACGGGTTAGGAAGAACACGCCCTCCTGTATAGAACAGACTGATAGAATTTGATTTGCTTTCTTTAAACATACACGAACATTTTGATTTTCATTTCTTTCTTTTTTCTTGAGAAATTAAATGAGAAAATTTTTAGTGACTATATTAGTCAAAAGCAGAATATTTTGAAGATTTTAAAATAACGAATTTTCTTCTTTTAACAAAATCGGAACAGGTATTGCCGAAATCTGCTCTGCCTCTAAAAATAAAAAAAACGCCATAAAACCGAAACATTATTTAATTAGTAAAGCTTTTAATTAATTTTATGAATAATATATATTAAAAACAATATTGTCTGAAGAAAAACAATTTCGACGAAAAAGAATTTATATAAGATTTCTTTGTCTTATTTTTTTACAATTTCAAACTGAACATTTTCTTAAGGTTTTAAATCTCGTAATTTTCATTTTATACGAGGTAATTCTTACGTAATATTACTATTGATAAAACTACATTTCTTCATCATACCTTGTAAAGATTATTACAATCTGACGAACGGAATATTTTTAAACGAATTTCGAATTGGTTTTGAATGTGTGACTACGTGCAGAATTTTTGATGTATGGATGTGCAAACCGATAAGCTCACGTATCCACACTTACGTCGAGAAATATCAGAAAATTTATCGTATGCTCCATATATGAACAGATTTGGCTAATTTACGAAATACGTAATCATTGTTTTTGAATGTAATCTCACTTGACACAACATCCATTATATTATATTTACAGGGGGAATTTAACCAATATACAATGATAGAATAGAAACTAAGCAATACATTAGGATTTTTCTTTCCAAATATGTACTTGCCACGCCTTTCCATATTACTTTAATTACACACTGAATAATGGTTAAGTAATCTTTTATTTAGTCTCAAATCCCGTACATTTACTATAATTTTATATATTCAGCTGACTTAGTGGATATTTTTAACATTTCTTTAACATGCCATCCGGTGATTAAATTTAGTGCTTAGACATTCATTAGTCAATTACATTTAAAGCGACATTATTAACAGCATAGAGAAAGTTATAAAATGTATAGATTGACGGCAAGTTACAGAATAGGTGTTTAAGACATAAATCATGGCAGTAAATTCCGGTAGTGGTTATAGAAAAAATAAAATAAAAATGTTGGTATTGATTACCGGTATCTAACACAATAACCCTATAAATTTTATTTCTCTAAATATAATCCGGTATTAGTCGAAAACTGAATTATAGATAATCTGTTAATCAAGAAGGGACATTCTTTTCCGAGAAAATAGTGTTTCATCGCAATAATTCCTTTTATTAGAAATATGGGCATTTAAACATGCGGAATTGCCTGCAAATACTTAATAAAGTCTTATATGTCCTATTGGCACATAAAAAATTGCATCAAAAAGACTAATTTAGCTAAATGATAAGTTATTATTCTAACAATAATAGCAAACAGTGAAAGTTACCTGATTGGATTCAATTACCAGTTCGATTACAATTTTTCAAAAATCTGTAATTACATAAAGATTATTTAAATGTACAAGAGCTAAACAAAGTGTAGTGACAAAGGAATGCAAGTCAAGAATAATAAGTCAGTTTATAATGTTAAAAAGTTACTGTATAATTAACTTAATTCCTCATAACAAAAGAATAAATATAGGTTTGGACAAAATGTTTGTTCGTTTACTAAGTAAAGAAACTACGTAATAAATTCACAGAACATTTACGCCCAAACCACAGAATGCAAATATTCCATTACGTCACGTATTACACGAGGAAAATGATATAATATTAGTTTTGTAAATGTAATCGAAAATTCAAGATATTACTGAGTAAATGAGTTACAAATCTGAAGTAAAAATCTGGGGAATAAAGGCATTAAATCGCAAAGTAAAATTTTGCATTAATTTGAATTTTATAATATACAAAAACAAATTCGAAAATTTCATAATACATTCAGTAATTTTAATATAAGTCGTTCATATGTGATGAGAATCTGAAAATTTTATAGCGTTTATTTTTACAAGAAATGTTTGTCCGAAATGTTTTATAACATTCTCTCTGTCTGGGGAGAGATTCGAATTTTTATTTCGTGTAGAGAAAGTCATAAATTGGAGAGACGTGAGAGTATTTATTTCGCATATGTTTGTAAATCAATAGAAGACAACATAATTCATGGAATATGCTGTTCTGGACAAGGAAAAATAACAGAAAGCAAATCAACATTCCCAAAAAATGCTCTGAATGTAAAACTAAGTTTTATGTTTGAGATGTTGAATTGTTGATTTATCCTTATTAACATTCAGACAGTTTCGGCCGTGGGTTCTCGCGAGTTTCGTCAGGTCTCAGTTTGATTTTTCGTGATGTTCACCCGGATATTAATACGACTAATTAACAATTGGAGTCGCACTAATAACGGAATGTGGACCTTAGTTTGAATTTAAATAAGTAAAACTGAAAAATAATTTAAAAATAATACTATTTTCTTACGCAGTAAAATTCCATCTGATGAAATTAAGAATAGAATATTTCATTGGTCAACATTTCCCACAAGCTATGCTGGGAAATCTGTGTTATTTATCTTAAAGGGGCCATTGTTCGATGAAGATGCTCCTTGCAATAACTTTTAGTAATCGATCTCTCATCAAATAAAAAGAAATATCCATGCAATAAGGAAAGAATACACATAGCTTGAGGTAAAGAAGGAGATTAGATTAAAAACATATCAATAGATTTGAAAGCTTTTATATATGAAAATCCAGCATTTCACTTCAGTTAAAGCATTTTCAATGCACACCGGTAAACATACCAGAAAAAGCATTAAGACAATTTCTTATTTTTTTCTTTTCTTCTAGTTTTTCTCTTTTCTTTCATTTTTCTTTCTTTCTTTTTCTTTCTTTCTATATTTATTTTATTCTTTCAATGCACATCGCAGTAAGAGAAACAGAGGCAGGCGCAGAAATACGCACAAAGACACACACATTTACACACGCAAGCACACACACACAAAAAAACATACATACACATACAAACAAGCAGACAGACACACGCACGAACGCGAAGACACAGACACACATATATATATATATATATATATATATATATATATATATATATATATATATATATATATATATATATATATATATATATATCTATATACTCACACACAGACATATATAAATATATATATACACACACACAGATACATAATACATAGATACACACACATACACACATATACATAGATGCATGTACATACAAACGCACTCTCTCACAAACATATACAAACATATATGTAAAGACACAGATTCACACACATATATACATACATATATGCGTGTGTATATATATATATATATATATATATATATATATATATATAATACACATAGATACACACACACATACATACACACACACACGTATATATATATATATATATATATATATATATATATATATATATATATATGCCCAAACTATGTAATAAAAACTCTTTTTAGCGTGCAAGGTCATTACAAAAATATGCAGAATTCCTTCTCCGTATATTTTTAATGAAACCTGTATTGGATATAAACGCACACACATATATCCATTCATATATATATATATATATATATATATATATATATATATATATATATATATATATATATATATATATATATATATATATATACTGAATATTAGTATTAAGATGCATATAAATGCAAAATGGACAATTGATACATGATTCTGCTTAGATAAATACTTCCATTTGTTAGATTATAATTCCTATCAATAATTTCAACAATCCATAACACACGATTATTCGGGTGAAAGAATCACTCAAATGTCGACATAATGTGTTGATTAAATCTAGATACGTAAAAAGTTATTGCGGTAAAAATTCATTCAATGAAAATAACCGTAACATCTATTTCGTCTGGCTCGTATTAAATATTTTATTCATTTTCCTGTTAATTCCTGAAGAGCTTATTGATTTTTCTTAATCCGTCCGTTCCTCAGATAAGCTCTCTCTCTCTCTCTCTCTCTCTCTCTCTCTCTCTCTCTCTCAATCTGTATGTGTATGTGTGTAGCCATGAAATTTTCCCGCGTGAATCATGCTTTTTATGAAATATTTTGGCATCCGTTGCTCGTGATAACACAACAAAGTGAGATGTAATATCATACACACACACACGCACAAACCCACACACACAACCCCCCACATATATATATATATATATATATATATATATATGAATGTATAATAACTCATTATAGTTTTCTTCTCTCCATCGCCATGCGTATAACTATTTTCGACGCATTTGAAAAAGATATTGTTCTATTTTTAAGATGGCATGTGCATAAATACATGGAACATGTTAAAAAGTGCGTTTCTCGATCAGGATAATATGCTTTGCCATCCACTGTAAGATTTTTCTTTTCACTGTGTATGGAATATATCATTTTTCTCTCTAAAAGACCGTATCTGTTTGTCACACAGAAATATCACGGAAGTCGTATGCCTTTCATCACGAGTCGTTAGGTGCATTTCTTATTTTATCTTCGTTATATGCTTACTTTAACTAGAATTTATTTCCGACAAGAATCTTGCACGGAATAAAACCACTTATCATTGTACTCCATATTAATAATATCAAATGCTTTCATTAACCAAATCTTTATACTCGTACTGCAACATATTTAATTATATAACTTAAAACGATCTCGCGTCTTCATTTTAAGTATAACACTGTGGCATTTTCTTATCTTAAATCCTAAAGTTCATGTGGTGAATCTTTGATGGAATTTAAGAAAAATATATGAACGTATTTACAAAAGTATTAGCACCTGATTTGTATGTGTAATGCCTTGCATGGGAATCATTTTGATAGACTGAGGATAGAAATGCATAGTCAATTACTGTATTTACCGGGCTATTGGGCGCTTAATTTTGAAAAAAAAAACCCTCCAAAATTCATCCAGCGTCCGATACAATATTATCAATTATAACAGGGTCATGTCAACCACGTAAAAAGTGGGGTTTACCAGGAATCACAGAAGCTTGGAGCTTAGCTCTGAAACTCGCACTCCTGGAACAGAACAAACCTGATATCAATAAAATATATATATATATATTCTTTATTAATTCACCCAAGAAAAAAAAATTATATAATGTGGATTGGTTCTATATTTTTGTTGTGGTAGGATCCACCTAATTTGCATAGTGGAGTACCGACCATATAAATATGGTTGGTACCGGGAAGAGAGGAAGGAATCAAGAGATTCAACCAGAGACTCTGCCCGACTGCGACTCAGTCAACACATTCTCCAGGAACGGTCTTACCAGGAATATACAAAAGACTATATGTAAATATTGTGTACACTTTCTTGTTTCAATACATTTTGTTCTAAGTACATTTTCTGTTGCATTATTATTCCATGCATCAGTCAAGTTTCAACAATTTTTCTTCCTGTTTTATTATAATTCACAAGTTTACATGAATATTTGCATGTTGCTACTTCATTTTCTGTGTTTTTATTGACATTGGAATTTACTTGTTTTCATGTATGGTATGGGACTTCACTTAACAATATTTACCATATTTCTGGGTTTTTGATTTATTTGCCTATCACCATATGTACCAATGTTCATTGATACCAGTAGATGTCTTTGTAGCTATTATGAATTAACTTTATGTGCAGATGTTGATCCCTGAATATAAATAATACAATATGCTTACAAATGCATGTAGAAATGTACTAATTCTTCTTTAAAAAAAAAAAACATCCTGATAATTAAATCTTACCTTAAATTTAACAGTTGAATAATGTCTCCTAATGCTGTAATTATTTCTTCATAGTAAGAATGTCACATAACTGTACATTTATAATTTTGATAATTTTCGTTGTGTTCATACCAAAATGGGGATACGTCTATTACATGGATACGTTAAATAAGCCGGAAAATACAGCAATTATCATAGACGTCTGCGTATGTGTTAATATTCCTACGCGCCAGTGTCTCCATTTTATTTATTGCATGTATTCAGGTAGCTTCAATTTAATGCTATGATAATCTCGTTTCTTTTTTATGCATAGTTGCTCAACAAAGTTCTGCTTTTTTTTTATCTATAACATCATGCTAGTGATGTACCCAAGAGAGGGGACATATCATTTTATATCTGTAATGTTCCAACTAATATACATTTTATATCGAATGTTATTAAGCAATAATTTATATATTTAGAGATTTACAAAGCTTAAATTAGATGTGGCGAAAAATCACAAGTTTTGATTGATCAACAGGATGATTCGAAAGTCTTGTCACACTTACATAATGTAATTTCTTATTTCAGATGATTAACATGAACCTTACAGTTTGCAAGTGTGTTTGGGTTGACAAGACTCCGACCACAATCTAGTTTGAAAAACTTGCTAACCATTCCACCACGATAAATTGTTCAATCTCTATTTCGTATGTTCAACTTATCTGCTATGTGCAAGGGCTTATTAAAATGATATAAGTAAACTCCTCGCAACTTCGGAACATGAACTTATTCCTCGTAAGACAGGAATTTGAAAATAAAAAGAAAGCTCTTAAATTAGCACATCTAACTTTATATTGTACAAATATCTGTATTATACAATGTATTTGCTAAATGAAACCTAAATGAATACATCTCTCTATTACTTCAAAATATATTCAACGAATATGTTACTTTGAGTTTGCTTGATAAAATTTGAAATATATGCCATTTTGTTGTTGTGAACTATATGAATATAATGGTGGATACATTTCTGTTTTTTGTCTTTACCTGGAGAATAATACTTCGCAATTAAAAACACTTTGATTGCTTCAAGGTAGGTTTTGCCAAATCCGAAAATATTTCAATCTGTGTTGCCTCAAAATGTTTTTCATAATTTCACTATAAAATACATATGTGATGACTGATTTTAGGTTTTTTCTTATATATCAAACTCATATTTTTTAAACGAAATGAAAAAAAATTTTGGTTTGCACAATCTTTCATATGTCAAATTTTGTAACGCACATCTTGAAGTTGCGTGAACCCTAGATTAAATCTAATGAATCAAAATAAAATAAATTAATTCGTTAAATTGAATAAATGCATATTTGGCAATGAAATAAAAACAATGTAATTTCAGAGATTAAATATTTTCCACGAACAGACAAAAGTTTGTCATACAGGATTAAATGCTTATGCGAAGTTGGTACATTGTTTCCTATTTGACTAATAAAAGCATTACTGACAGAAAACATTATTGGAAATGAAATCAGACGTTCACATTACGTGATTAAAAAGTAGGTTCATGACATTATCTGCAAGACGATCATTTAAACTCTCAGTGAGTTTAGTCTTAAAAGAAAAAAAGCATGGGGAATGGAATTCTGACAGTAAAATATGTGCGTCAAAACTGTAAATAGTTTTAGCAGTTTTTCAAATTTTGCTCATTCTTAGATTTTAAAGTAGTAAGAGAAATTCAATTTGTCAAAATATTAATATGCGCCCTAATTTCTATGTAAATTTTATTAGCATGGAAATACTATGAGAATTACATTGATATACGACCGACATGCCAAAACGATTGCGTTAATATTCCTGTACGTCTTATACGATTTGTATAGGCTTAAATATCATTTATATAAATGTTAGATGATAACAGTTAGGGCAGATCTGTTAATTATGAAATCTGTCTTCATTTTAGCATATATTTTTTAAGAAATAAAAATAAGTTTATAACTGGAAATCGATGAATTTACGGAGGAATTAATAAAATTAAAAAGACAGCAGACCTATAGCAAAAAAAAAAAGATTTGACCTTCCACTGTGGGACGACTGACATCAATTCTCAGTTTCTCTTTTCAGCAACAGTTTCAACAAAGACACAATTTCAGTGTACGCCTATTTTTATGTTTAACTACACTTGTTTTAATTTTTTTTCCTTTTTTATTATCTGACATATACACAGAGTGAAATAAAATAAACTTCCCATTTTAAAATACTTATAATTTATTTATTAAATATAAGTTTTACAAGAAATGGAAAGCGTTTAGCATGAGATTTTATTTAAAATTCGTTATAAGCCCCAGATTTCGCTACCAGATTCTCGGGCCGCGCAGGAATCGGGTCAATTGATTTCACTAAGAACTCTTCCAAAATCAGCGTTTGGTACATAAGACTTGCTACTTTAACCAGCATAAAAGAAAAAACGTCACAGGGATTTGAGTCAAGACTTATGACAGGCAACTCATACATATAATAGGGAGTTACTTTTCAATCAGCCTGTATATTGGAAATATTAATATAAGGTATTTATCTACGGTACGCAAACTAAAGTTATTATTTCTATAAATGGATTCCAAAGGTGACTCCATTCCATATATAACTGCCATTTAAAACATAACAACTTTGAAATCGATCCCAAAATGCTAAAAGAAAGATTTGTCGGAAAATGGGTAGATGTTTCAATATATGTATCACACGAGTGTACCAATAATAACCCTGTATAGTATATCCAGCACATTATGTTGCATAACGATTATATTATTTCCGGCACATTATAATATATATATATATATATATATATGTATGTGTGTGTGTGTGTGTGTGTGTGTGTGTGTACAAATATAAATATAAATATTGTCTGACGATCGCAAAAGCGTGAAACCCAGGGTCACAAACTCATATCAATTCAACCAAATATATATATATATATATATATATATATATATATATATATATATATATATATATATATATATCAATTATATTATGTGCAGAATTGTCTATGGCTATCCAACATAATCCACCCAAGATGATATTGTACATATCCTTTATATTATATTGCAGTTTAAGGATATTATATTGCATACTAGATATATCTAGTATGCTATATCGTTAAGCAACATCGGTCCTGGTTAGTACCAAGATCGGTGACCGCTTATGAATACCAGACGATGTAAGCTTTGATATGGGAGTGGCGTAATGGAAAATGACTTGGAATTTTTACTCGGAGAGTCGAGTTTGAATTCCCATTGAGTTCGTTATATCCGCTTAAGCGAAAATCCCCTTGGGATAATTGTGAATCAATCAGACATTTATCGT